GAGGTGCCAGTAGAAAATTAGGAATTACAAAAAAACTGATCTTCCCAAGAGAGGGATGTGGCTTCCTCTCTGCTCTCCTGGGCTTCCAGGGCTTCAGCAGGTACTGGTCCTGGGTGCTGGGCCTCCTGGGGGCCTTTGGGAGTTCATGGACCTGTGTGGGGGCATCACAAGGCCCTGTGACTGTTCCGGAGTCTTGTGTGCACTGGGATTTGTTCTTGGCCTCCCTGCTGAAGTCTTGATCCATGTGGAATTGTTCTAGAGCTCTGGATGGATGTGGTACTAGAGTTGTGATGGAGAAGGCTGGGAAAAGAACCCCAGTGAAAGCCACAGGGAAGACTGGGACTTCCTAGTCTTGTGGATGTGTGGATGTTGGGGGTCCAGAGACATGTCAGACAGCAAGAGCCAAGTCTGATGTGTTGGAAACCTGTACAGATCTCCACAGCTGTAGAATGTTGAGGGGCTGGCAGTCTATCTGGGACCATGAAGAAGGGGGGGGCCTTGACAGTTCTTGTATGACAATGGGTATCTGGCAGCAGAAAAGTGAAATTACTCTTCAATTCCTCACCCTGCTCCAAAATTTTTACGTAATTGCATACAAGAAAAAATGTATTGAGACTGTGGCTGGAATGGGTTTGTTGGAGGGGCTGGAGAATCTCCATTCCTCGAGATGGTAAAAACTTGACTAGGCATGTTCTTGAGGCATGTAGCTGCTTCTGCTTTGACTGGGGCTAGGGGCATGATTTGGGAACTGCCAGCAACGTCAAGCCAGCAGTGCCTTCCAACCTCACCTTGTTTGTGACTTAGATGGGGGATGTCTGGGTGTGGCTTCTTGTGAAAAATAGCAAGGCTTATAAAGCAGAAGAATTTCGCCCTCAGGTGACAGTCCATGTGTTCTGTAGTGAGGGAACTCAGGGTCAGGACTGAGGTTTTTGACCTTTTTTACCTGTAGGGCATGTGTGGGTGCAGAGTCCTCGCTGTGAGTCTGGGGTGATCTCATGAGATCTCTTCCAACCTGTTTTCTCTTTGCTGAATTGTTGTGTCTTTGCTGTCCTCTGTGCCCCAGGACACTGTGGCTGCCCAGCTGTCCATTTCGCTGCTGCGCCACACAGACCTGCTCCCTGCAGACAAGGCTTTCTATGAGGCTGGGATGGCTGCCAAGGTAAGAACTACCTGCCTCTGCACCAGTGAAGGACACGGGCCACCCTGGGCTCAGGGATTCTCAACTTTATCTTCCCAAATCCTCCCTTGGCTGCTGGACTCTCACTGGAGGCTGTTCCTCAAGCAGCTGGCCAGACCTCAGCCAGTGAGCAGATGGGACCTACAGACCCAGGGTGGACAGAGGCCATGTTATGGCTGTCAGTGTGCATGTGAGGCTGCTTAGCTCTGCTCCGCATCACCCAAGTGTCTGACAGTCTGCCTGGGACCTGTGATACATGGCAAGGACAGCAGCATGTCCTTGCTGCCTGGACCTGGCTGTGCAAAAATAGAATTATGGAATGGTTTGGGTGAGAAGTGACCTTAAAGCTCATCTTGTTCCATCCCCTGCCATGGGCAAGGGCACTTTCCACTAGAGCAGGCTGCTCCAAGTCCCATCCAGCCTGGTCATAATGCCTGTCTCCATTCTGTGGGACAGCCCGAGCTGGTTGGACACTAATGCACAAACAGATCCACATCCTTCCTAGCCATAGCTCTGGGAGAAGAGCTGGCTGTGAGGATGAGCTGTCCAGTCTCACTCAGGGTTCCTCTCCATACCAGGCAGTCAGCTGGGAGAATATGGCATTTGTCTTCCTGAACCACTTCCTAGACCTCTCAGACGTGAGTATGGTCTGTGGGGAGGGAGGGCTGGCTCTAAAGTGGCAGTGGCACTGCCATTACTGCCACACGGCCGTTACTGACCCCCAGGCTGGCCAAGGCACAACTGAGGCTCCCAGACCCCTCTCAGTGTGTGCCTGGAACAGGGGGCACCCTCACACTCCCTGTGGGAGGACCTGCCATGCAGGGCACCTGCACAGCCCTGGCCGAGTCACCCTTGGCATGCCAGTGCCACCATGCACATGGCAGCAAAGAGCACATTGGCCTGAAATCCTCATGGCTGCAGATGCCATTACAGCTTTCAGGGTGATCTCACTCAAGTTGTACCAAGGGAAGAAAAACTAGTTGGGACGTGGAGGCCATAGCCCAGTGCTTTGGCCACTGTGGTACAGTGGTACAGCAGGCTGGCCACCAGAAACACCAAATCCAAAGGAGCTGACACACCTCACTGTGCCAGGCTCTCAAATGCTGTCAGCAGCAGCTGGGGGAAAACAAAAGCACCCGATTACATCTTTCCCTTTCTCAAGGCCACCTGAACAGGGCAGAGTCTGAGAGACACTGCAGAGTGTGGTCATGGATGACAGGAGGGCCTGGTCACCACAGCACCAACAAGCAGGGGCATCCTGGCCATGAATTGTACTGTGAGCCCTACAACCAGCACTGCCCAGTGCTCTACCCCTTCTTTCCAGGCCATTGAAGAGGGGAACCTGGATTCCCTGGACCATTCTGATTTTCAGCAGACAGACATTCCCTTTGAAGTGCCCCTTCCAGCCCATCAGCACGTGCCTGTGAGTGTCACCTGTTGTCTTCAGCTCTTGGGAGCAGTGGTGCTGCTTCAGGGCCCTCGAACAGGGACTGGGGTGGGGCTGGGATTGCAGAGGCTGCAGGGGATGGAAACGGACTCAGAACAAGCGCCTTCTGCCTGTCCCTCCACTGCGAGTGTGCACAGACGTGTGTACACTTACACACAAAAACACACACACCTGTGTACACACACTCACACACACCTGTACACACACAAAAACCCACACCCACTCTCGCACACACACACAACCGGTACACACACAGAAACACATACCCACTCTCACACACACAAAAACACACACGCCTGTGTACATACACTCACACACATACCTGTACACACATAAGCACACACACGCCTGTGTACATACACTCACACATATATCTGTACGCACACATCCTCTCTCTCTCTTATGCTCCCCAACACACACATGCTCTCAACCCCCACTGTGCACCTTGCACGTGTGTGCTGTGCGCACACCTTGCACGTGTGTGCTGTGTGCACACCATGCACGTGTGTGCTGTGTGCACACCATGCATGTGTGTGCTGTGCGCACACCTTGCACGTGTGTGCTGTGTGCACACCTTGCACGTGTGTGCTGTGTGCACACCATGCATGTGTGTGCTGTGCGCACACCTTGCACGCCTGTCCTGCTCTCCCGTGTGCTCCCTGCTGCAGTGGGGCTGCAGCCGGGCAGCAGCATCCCAGTTCCAGGCCTGGCCCTGGCCTTTGCCCACAGGAGGAGCAGCGGGAGGAGGTGAGGGACTGGGTGCTCACCGTGTCCATGGACCAGCGGCTGGAGCAGGCGCTGCCGCAGGATGAGCGCAGCACCTACGAAGCCTCTCTGGTGGCAGCGGGGACCGGGGTGCCCTCCCTGCCCTGCATGCTGACAGGTAAGCTCCGGGCCAGCTCACTCAGACTAGAGATGACACAGTGCCATGCAGGAGTCAGAATGTGCTGCAGGGTGGGTGTGGCAGGAGGTCTGGGCTGTGCTGTAGGAGCAGTGGAGGGACTGTGTGGCTGTCGGGAACCAGCTCTGCTGGACGAGACAGGTCTTTTTTACTGTGGGGGTGAGTGACCTGGAACAGGTTGCACAGAAGTTGTGAGACAGTCATCCTTACAGACAGTCAGAAGCTGTCTGGACACAGCCCTGGGCTGGGCTGGCCCTGCCGAGCAGGGAGTTGAACCATACAGAGCCCAGAGCAGTTCTGACCCCAGCCACTCTGTGTTTGAGTGGTGGCTCAGGCTGGCACAGCTTTTCTGGGGGCTCCAGGCTGGCCAGCACAGACGGTTGAGAATGGGCAGCACCCGGCCCTGCTCTGCAGTGCAGGACTTAAAAGGGTCAGAGAAGGAAACAGGAGTGGGCCACCAGGAACAACGGGGCTGTGGCTCTGAAAGTCAGAAGCTGGCTGCCATTGTTGGACCTACTCACTTGGGTGTCATTGCCCAAGGAGAGTTCAGCCTTAATCTTAATTTGATCCCCCACTTTGAACACCCCTTCTTCATTTTGGTCTCCTGGAGACCAAGGCAGCATTATTCCCCCCAACTCACTGTGCTGTTGGGGCAGCCCCAGCTGCAGCACAGGGAAGGGGTGCACCAGGGGCCTGCTGTGAGGCTCAGCTTGTTCTGAATGTGTCACTTTGTGCCCAGGGTACCCAGTGCTAGGAAACAAGATTGAGTTGAGGCCAGGCCGAGAAGTGAAGAAGGATGCGTGGTACAAATTCGTGATGGCTGTCAAGGTGAGCCAGAACCCACAGGCAGGGAGACAGTCTGTGGGTGGGGTTCAGCCCCTCCTGCTGACAATGCAGCATCCTTCTGGGTCAGTCATTGTCCCAGGGCAGTTTACTGCACTCTCCTGGCAGTGCTGCTTGGTGGGGATTACCAGACCTGGTCCTGCCAGCCCACGAGGTGCCTTCAGGCAGGGGGCACAGGAGTGCCCTTTCCAATGCCAAGGCCTCTCTCTTTCTGCAGACATCCCACAGCCCCGCGGGCCAGGATGTGATCGAGTTCCTCCGACGGTGGTGTGGGGGACTCCCAAGCACCAGCTTCTCATTCCAGTAAGCAGGACTGTGGCAGCTTTTTGCCCTGTTCCTCAGCACTTTCCACATCCAATAAATATGTTATCTCAGCCCTGCAGTGCTCCTGTTTGCCAGGGAATGCTGGGCCCAGAACACTGCAGCTGCTGGGCACAGGGCTGCAACCCCTGTACATGTGTCTCAACCCCCACGTCTGTGGATGACTTCCACACTGAGGCCATGGCTCTGTCAACATCCCTGTGCTTGGGGAGTGGCAGGCACAGGGATGGGCTCACAGAGCAGCTGTACTTTCCTTCTCTTGGCACACCTTGCTCACAACCAGCACTCACCTGGCAGAGCCACTCAGAACAGCCAGTATGGAAAGGTTTATTTATTCAAGAAAACTAGAGATCCACACCAAAGGGACTCTTCCCCTTCTGTTCCCTGACATGTTCGAGCACAGGCACAGCCAGCTGCCCTGCCTGCAATGGCACCAGGACTTGGGACCCAGAACCTCTGCCCACCCCTGTCACTGCTGACAGAAACCAACAGAGCCTTCAGCACACCAGGAAGGGCCTGGCAGCTTGGGGAGAGGATGGGAGAGCATCTGGGGCCCACAGCACCTGCAGGGTCTGTCCCAGGTAGGGGGGTGGAGCTGGGGGGAGGGGCCAAGGCACATCCTCACCGCTGCAGCCCCACTGCAGGAGGTATGACATCACCTTGCCCCTGACCCTGCTGGATCACAGCACTCCTGCAGCACCACCTGGGAGCGATGGAGCAGTGTCAGTGCCAGGCTGTGCTGCAGGGCCCAGCGTCACTGACTCATCTGACCATGTCCCTAGGAAGAGGTGTTTTCGGGGGCTGGTGTTGACATGGGCCCTCTTGATGGCAGAGCCTGCTCCCCCCATCCCAGGTACGGCCCACATGGTGCACTCACCTTTCCAGCTACGCAGGAGACTCAGCAAGTCCTGCCAGGAGCTGCTGCCTCTCACGGAGTGGCTTCTCCATTGCTGTACTTGGCCTGGCCAACTAGAGAGGAAAAAAAAAAGAAGTGTAGGGTGGCAAGGACATGTGTTGGGCAGTGTTCTCACAAAAAAAGAACAGGCCTGGCTACCAGGAGGATGAAGAAAGAGTCCCTCTGCAACTCCCTATGAAGGGGTGCTGGTCTGGCACTTAGGCTGGCTAGAAGAAGTTCCAACTCTGCATCCCCCCTACTGCTGCCTCCTTGGTCCCAGCAGAACCCAGAACCCTACAAGTGCAGCACAAAGGCAGGAATCATGGGGGAGATCTGTCCAGCTCAGCGGGGCGTACCTGCTCTTTGCCATAGCTGTGTGCACAGGGCCCGATGCCCTGGTAGACGAGAGCCACCAAACAGCACCTGCCCGAGAGCACGGCTTCTGCAGCTGCCAGCAGCAGGGAGGGGAACCAGAGGGCCAGGGCTGTGTCCTGCGGAGCAGGGGTCACAAGAACGTGGGCACTGCACCAGGCTGGCTCAACACACTCAGCAAAGACTATGTGGACAGCAGGAGAAAGAAGGGGGAGATGGAGAGAAGGGAAGCAGGAGGGAGAGTCAGAGTGAAAAGAAAGACAGAGAAAGCAGAGGGAGAAAGGGGGTGATGGGAGGAGTGGGGGTGTGCAGTGACGCCGCAGACTCACGTAGATGCGCGTGGTGTTGAAGGGACAGTCGTTGGTGGCAATGGCTGCACGGGCGTCTACGGGCAGCGCGGAGCTGTTGCAGCCCCGGACCAGGTGCGTACCCCGGCTGTGCACCGTGAGGGCGATGGCCAGCGCCAGCCCCACGCTGCACGCCGTGGACAGGAGGCAGTTCAGCACAGAGATGCCCAGCAGGGTCCAGTGCTGCAGGCGGCAAGAATACGAGTGGGACTGGCACGAGCCCGGGGAATGGCTCAGGCCGGGCACCCGTGCCTCTGCAGAACTGCTCCCGAACTACACACGATCTCTTGCCTCTTCCAGGGCTGTTCAGCCTTGCCCTCGGATGAGGCTCTCGCACCTTTGGCATCCTTCCACCCCCTGTGAGCTCGGCACCGCTGGACGCCCCTTCTCTCGGGCTTCGTGGAGAGCAGGCTCCGCGGGAGCCCAGTCCAGCCCAGCGCACCCTGCCCCGTGTCCGCCCACCCTGCGAGACCACGCGGGACCCCCGACCCGGCTGCAGCTTCGCCCACCGAAGCGCTTCTGCCCGGGCACGGCGCTCCCATCCTCCCGGAGCGGCCGGCGGGGCCGAGCCGGGGACAGGTGACACCGGCAGCCACCGCCGAGGCGGAAGGAGCCCGCGGGGCCAAGGTCCAAGGGAGCGGCTGCCGGCGGGACAGGGCCGCGCCGAGGCCCACCGCCTGCTCGGCCGCAGCCCCGCACTCACCAGGACCGCCCGGGAAAGGTTGTGCGACACCAGGATGGCCACGATGCCCGCGGCGATGCTCTGCGGGGAGAGCTGCGCTCAGCAGGGCCCGGGCAGGGCAGGGCCCGCCGCCCCCCGCCCGGCCCGGCCGCGCTCACCAGCAGCCCCGAGCACACCGACACCACGTTGGCCGCCGCGTACTCGGGGGTGACGGCGCGGCGGGCGCCGGCTACGTGCCGCAGCACCGAGCCGTGCACGATGGCGCCCAGCACGAGGCTGCCGTGGCCCAGCACGATCAGCCCCAGCCCCGAGCGCATCAGCCGCCGCGGCTCCGCCAGCGCTCCCGCTCCCCGCCGCCCCCCAGCCATGGCCGCCGCCGCCGCCGCCGGTTCCGCCCCGGGGCAGGGACGGGCGGCTCGGCCCGGCCCCCCCGGCCCGCCCCGCCCTGCAAGAGGCGGCACTCGCGTCTTTACAAAACAGTTTATTAAAAATAGGAAATGATAGAAACGAGATGCAGGAGCCGCGGCTCGGCCCCAGGACGACGCAGGGCCCCGGGCGTCCCCGGTAAGGGCCGGGGGCTGCAGGGGCCACGGGGCCGCAGCCCGGGGCCAGCAGACGCCGTGGCCCCGGCGCGTGCGAACCAGTAAACAAAGTGCAGCCGGCGGCGGGAGCAAAGCGCCGGGCGGGGAGCGGGGACGAACCTGGCCACCCCTGGGCCCGTGGCGCGGGAAAGGGGGGAGTGACGGGGGTGCAGGGCTTAGGGGCCCACCCCTGCTTACCTTTAAATTAAAAAAAAAAAAAAAACCAAAACAAAACAAAACAAAAAAAAAACCAAAAAAAAAAAAAAAAAAAAGAAAAAAACCCAATTCTGTGCCGTGCAAAAGACACTTTGTACAATTCAAACAGAACAAACTCCATGCACATGAGTGGGGCTGCAGAATTCCCCAAGCCAGGCCTCAGCTCCGCAGCACAACCTGGCAAATCCCAACAAAAACAGGGCTGGAAATAATACTGATGCGCAAAGTCCTCTTTAGGAGGCGGGCAGGGAGGACTGTCGATGAGCCCAGCCACGGCACATGCAGGATGAGCTTCCAAGCACTGCAGCTGGGGTCTTGCGGATGCCCGACAGTGGTGGGCAGACACAGATGGGCCGCAGGCAGCGAGGCCACACTGGCTGCCCAGGAGCCACGGGGCTAAGATGACACAGTCACGGCCGTCAGGGCTCCATTCCGAGTGTAGTAGAACTTGCTAAATGCCTCTTCAAGTAAACAGGTGAGTCTGCTCTGGTCAGCCTGGCAAGAACAAGGACAGTGAGGGGTAAACCCCATCCACTGAAAGCTGAGAGCATAGCTGGAGACCCCCAGGGCAGGGACCTGGCTTATTCCTCCTCCCTCATCACCCCAAAAAGGGCATAAACCATTGAATGCTGAGGAAGGAACAGGTAGGCCCATAGCCCTACCTGAGCCCCTGCTTACCTCGCTGATAAATCCAAGCTGGACCAGTTCAGCTGCCAGCTCCTGTATGTTATCATCTGCAACACAAGGAAAGATGTCAGTCCTTGGTCCCAGCGTGCTGCTGGCCCCAGTGCCCCTCGGCAGGGGCAGAAGGGAGTACTTACTGGGCTGAAGGTCACAGCTCAAGTGTCGATTCAACTTGTCTTCCAGTTTCAGCAGCAGTGTCAGCTGCAGGGCAAAGAAATTCTCATGAGGGATTGCAGTCCTTCAGACTGCGATGGCAAGCCCAAAGCAACCCTAGAAATGCCCCCTGAGATGGGAACCACCCCTCCAGAGCCCCACGGGGATCTAATAGAACAGACACAGCCAGTTCCATCCTGGATGGTGCAGCTGGCAGCACCATCCTGCGCTGGAAGTCTGGACCTGGGGGTGGGCCCAGGTGCCAGGTCAGCAGCAGGAACAGGCCTGGGACAGGCTCTGGGTCCTGATGGTGGCAGCTGCAGCAGTGCAGGGTTACCCCAGGCACCAGCAGCACTTCAGAGCCATGAGCCCTGCACAGCTCGGCCTCCCCCTTCTCAGCCAGACGTAAAACATACGTGATGCTTCACCCCCTCCTCCACGGACTCGATGTTGCACTGCATCAGCACCACCTGGAACAGAGGCATAGAGTTCATCAGCAGCTGCCCCACAGCCCTGCCTGGCCATGGGAGAGCGAGGCTGAGCCCCTGCCTTTACCTTGCGGGTCTCCACCTCAGCGGGCTCTGGAGTTGGGGTTTTCACTGACGGGGGAGCAATGGGAGATTTCACCACAACCTGCTGGGGCTGCTGGGGTCGTGGCATCCCAAAAGCTGTGAGGGGATAGATTCCATTCCTACAAGGAGCAGCATCTGAGGTTATAACTCTCCAAAATTTTTCCCGTCTCGCACACAGTGGGAGGTGTCTTAAAAAAATCCCTCTTACCTCACATCCTCCAGGAACTTGTCCAGCTCCAGCGCTGGAGATTGAGAGAAGCTGGAAAAAAAATGTCCTGAGATGAGAAATCATCTCACAGTACCATCCACTCAAGTCTCCCAAGGTGCAGTTTTAAATCCCCATGTCCTGGGCTGTGTCCAGAGGCAGGATGGCTGTGGACTATATATAAGCTGGTGCAACAAGCTCTTACCTTCCCTTAAGGACATAACTACCTTCAGGAGCTAAGGATGAGGCAGCAGTTATGGCAGAGCCAGTCTCACATCCCTAAGAACAGTGCAATGCAGTTATTTGGAGGGTGGCCCAATGACACTGTTCCTGGTGAGCTGTTTCACTAACACCTGCCATACCAGGTCCCTGGTTGCAACAAACACTTAGAAAAGCCAAACCCCTGTCTCAAGGCTGCTCTGAAGCATTCCAGAGATGAGGCAAGGACTGCAAAACTGCTGGAAGCCTGACAGGATGTCCTCAAAGCCCTCAGCTTTATGGGCTGCACACCCTACCTCAGCTCCCAGACCACTCTCCAGCCCCTTCCACATCCCCAGCAGCTGGGATCATCCCATCCTCGTAACACAGCAGTAGTTTTCAACAAAAATTTATAGGTTTTTTTCCTAGCAGCTTGGTTTGCATGGTAGTCTGCTGAACCATCCAGAAATGATCCTGACATTTCAAGTCATTGCTGCTTTCTTTTTCTTTTCCAGCACCTCTGAGGTGTGGCACTAGCAAAAAGCCAGTTCCAGGCTGGCACCCATGGACAGCCCCGCCTGCAAAGACTGACATCCCATGCATGTAAGGATCTCTCTTGTACAGCTTTGCTTGTTCACTTGTCCTCCATTTTGAAACTGTACCAAAAACATTCCAAAAGGAATTTCATACTATATTTCCTAGCACTATGACAACTGGTATGTGAGCTTTTGGAAGGGCCCCTATGGCTCCGAGAGCTGCTTATATGGATGGAGATGTTCTTCCTTGTCATCTTGGTCACTCTTGTTCAGCAGCCTGGGCATCCCAGGACTCTGGGCTCCCCTGGAAGCACCCTGGGCTTCTCTGGGAATACAGTGTTCACATCCTAGTCTTCAGCTAATCCCTTGACTACTCAAAGCTTTGTTATCCAAAGTCTATATCACTTTTTTGGCACTCTGCTTGCTCCATATATATTACAGGCATTCCCTTAGGTAACTCCCTACAGTGTAAGTAGTGTCGTGTGTCACTGACAGCTGCCTCAACTGCCTTTCCCTGTGCATGGTGTGGAATAGGATGCTCCATTAGGAGAACACTGAGGAACCCCTTCTGTGAAGTGAGCAAGCACCTTCCCAAACTGTTAAGCCACATTTTGCTGGGGACTGCTCCAACTACAGCATGTTCATTTCATCTGTCCATTTGAGGAACAATTCATCTCAGCTGCACAGAATCTACTCCCTGGAAACAGGTGCAAGGTCTCCTTCCATGCAGGAATAACCCTCCCCAGAAGTGTGTGTGCCCAGACAGTGACTGCTCCTTCACCTCCAGCTCCACCAGCTCCCACTGGCAGCCAGTCACTGGGGAAATACTAACACTGAGGTGCTGGGCAGAGTCCCACTGGTGTTGGGCTCACACCAGTGCCCAACACTGCTCCCCTGAGCACACCATAGGGACTCACATCATCTTGACTCCTTCCCTGTCCTCGTGATTGATCTCTGCCAACACTGCGTTCATGTCGAGGTTTTTGGTCATTTCTTCTAAAGCATTTTCAGGAATCATATCTATTAAAAAAAAGAGGATTAACTTGGAGCAATTGCAGTTCCTCTCCAGCCCTAGAAAAGCAAAGAAAAGTGCAGAGGTCTTATGCTCTCTGATGCACTCAGAGCAGATCGGACACCACAGCCCTCGCAGCCCCACAGCTGTGTCCAATAGCCAGGAACCTGCAGAGCAGCAGGGCACGGGGAGGGCAGTTCCCAGGGTGCCAGCTCACTGGGGTGAGCACTGACAGCTCAGCAAAGCTCTGCAGAGCACTGACCCACGTGGGGACATGGCTCCCAGGGCTCTGTACTCACGCTGGTGCCCAACGATGCAGTGAGCAGCCAACAGCTTCAGCGATGGCACCTCAAACAGCGCCGGGTGGAACAGCAGCTCCCGGGCCGTGGGGCGCCTGCCAGGGTCCTGCTCTAGACACTTCTGAATGAACTCCTAGAGAAAAAACCTGCATGAGACAACAAGCAGCAGCAGCAGAGCAGTTCAGGGCACCACGCCCCGTGGCTCACCCGCTGCAGGGGGTCCTCCAGCAGCTGGATGGCACTGTTGATGGCCTCCTGCGGCACGTAGGATGACTCCCCGTTCCCCTGGATCTCCAGCACTGCCATCTGCAAACACAGAGCAGAGCATCAGACTCCACTGGGAGTGACAGACTGCATGGGAGACAGGCTCAAGGAGACCACTGCGGAGACCACTGCCAAGCATGAGATCACCACAGCCAAGCTGTTTGGGGGTGCTTAAGGTCACATTTGGAGAGGCAGAGAGAATGGCTGCCTCATTACAACAGCTTGCTCCTAATACCCCAAGACTGCCAGGGAGCCCTGGGAACTCTGCCAGCAACAACCTGGACAGTAAGTGTCTCCATTTTGAACCTCATGATCCACTGGCCTGTTATTCTGTTTGACAGTTCCATAATGAAACAGTGACTGGATCACTGCCAGGATCTGACAGTGTCCCTTCTGGCTGTGTGAATAGCTCTGCATCACAGAACAAGAGCAAGCACACAACACATCAAGAATGGTCTCCAGACAACTACATAGACACTAATTCCCAGCTAGGAAAGGCTGGAAAATATTGCAGAGAATGTCTCTGCATTCAGCTTAAGTTTTGTTTCCTAAAAGTTGTATCTTTCCACAGTTCTCTTCCTGCTTCACTAATGGAATGTGCAGTGCAGGTTGACGGTTCCTTGTACTGGCTCTTTCTGACAATTTTCA